TATACTGAAAAATGTCAGAAGTATTTAACAGTACAATTTAATAAGTGCTGTTGTTCAAAAACAGTTTTTACTTAGGCAATTATATTATTTTAGTACTGTAGCTTCATAAAGTAAAGTTATTTAAAGATTCCCTGATGTTAGGAGGACCTTTATAAAAAAAGAAGATGAAGCTAAATTCAGAGACCACTTTCTTTCAAGCGTGACAAGAAGTTATAGCTTATGGAAGAAAAATTAAATGGTTATGACTGTCTCAGTGATCACAGTTTTTGTAAATATGAGTCCTTTCAGGAACCAACTGAGTCACAGTTCTTGAGACTTTTCAGACATTAAATGCTAAATTGCTTCAGACTTTGCGAGTGATATTGCTCATTTGGGAATACTAACTTCCTTGTATAGTCACCATAATGATTACAACTGGTTCTGATAACCTTTAGGAGTGCCTCATATAACTGCTGTGACAATACCAGATTCTGGGTTTCTAACTGTGATGCATGATACCCAAATATGCAGAAAAAAGTAGAGTACAACTTCAGCAGAATAATCATCAAAACTCCCCTCGAATGAAGCTTCTTGTAACTAATGTGATTTTTTTTATGCTGCAGAACTATTACAATCACAATTACTGGTGCATTCTAGAATCAGCACTCCAAAAATATTTTGTGTTTTAATCAATTACATTGCATAGGAATACTTTTGAAATACCCACTTTCATGAGGATTACCTATTACTGTTCACCGAGCAAACATTTTTCTTTTATTTCCTACATAATGCCACATTTGTAGAAATATATCACATGTAACATTGTCATGAGGATTTGGTGTAGTGGCTGCCTCCATTTCCCCCCACCTCTCTTTGGTAGATTACCTTGATCTTTGACTAGATGGTCTCCTGAGCTGGACCCACACCTCCTCTTAAAGGACAGTTACACATTATCCCAGTCCCCCTTTTCTATCTCCAGGGGAAGGCTCTCCATAAATTGTTAGAGCCTTATCTACATCGCCCAGCCAGGATGACATTTCCTTTTTAACCTCAACAAGGAAGGCTAACAAGAAATTTGTGCTGCTTGAAGAATGAAGTGGTATGGCCATAGTTTTCAACTCAGCCTGTACAACCAATGTCATGCACATATTCTTGAGTGTTGCAAATGAAGGTTTATGCTGAGTGCCACTGTGTTTAAATGTCCAGTCCTCTTGTGGCTATGGTGGAGCAGCCAAAACTGGCCTTTACCTGGGTGGAATTGGCAAAGGGCTGACTCAGAGTCTGTCTAGAGCACTCTTCATGGATATGGATACAATTATATCATTCACCATTGAGAAAATTCTATAAAGAGTCAGCTCCTTTTGAGATTCTTACAACCATCAAGGTCCATGAATCTTTGCCTGCAACACCCAGATGATCAAGTGTTTGTTTTCCTCTTCCACCCCCACTATTTTCTGGATTGTGTTCTGAGATGTGCAGCCAACTTTGCCTCTCTCCTCTGGTGATTACAACTCCTCCTCTGTGATGCAGTTCAAGCCTTCATTGGTCTTGGCGTTACTCTGCCAGAAGGGTCTCCAACTCAGTGGGAAGCTCATTCAGCTTCTCCTCCAGCAGCAGCTGCTGCTCTCCATCTCTGCCATTAGCCAGATTAAATCCTTTTTCTTCAAGGTCTATGTCACAACCTTTTCTTTTGAACAGCGCATCTCATCCAGCTCCTGCATACACTCTTTTACCTGGGTCTGCAGATGGTGGAGCCCTTTGATGGCTTCACCTTACCTTTTATTCGTAGAATGAATCTGGTCTTCCAGACTTGGTTCTCCAGACCTTTAGGCCATCTCCAAATTTTCCCTACCAGCTATAAACATGGGGAGCTGTTACTGTTCTGTTCCAGCTGCTCCAAACCATGCTTCAATTTCTCCAGCTCCACTCTTTGCTCTCTATCTTCCTCTGAAGCTCTGGTCAAGAACAGAGACTTTGTCTCATCCTCTCAGGCCTCCACATCAATGCGGCTGGTCTTCTCCACATATCTATCGGAAAGATTCTTCTCTGTGAACAGTTCTATCTCCTTTTGTTTCTTCACCATATTGGCGACTCTTTGCATCTAGGGATCCAAATGCCCTTTCAAATAACTTAGCTCTTGCTGCCAGAGCTGTCCCTTGGGTATGGCGAATCGGGGCGACTGCTCTGGGCTCTGCGCTTTGGAGGCCCCTGTGCTTCAGTGTGTATGTGTCATGCAGGGGGTGCTAGGCTGGCCTGGGGGGGTGGGGTTAGGGATTCAGGGGGCCATTCTGGCCCAGGGGCTTGGGTTAGAGGTTCAGGGGGCCAGGCCAGCTCGGGGGATTAGCGGGGAGGGGGCCTGGCACTGGCAGTGGAGGTCACGCCTGCACTCATCAGCGGGAAGCACACGTTGTATTTCTTTTTCTTATTCGGCATCACGGGGCTCAGGCTCAGTCTCTGGCAGTGGCGACCCCAGCCTGCCCCGCTCCGCTGGTTCCCGGCATCGTGCACCACTGCATCGAGTGCCAGTGTCCTAGCGCTGCCGGAACACGCCAGCGCCAGGCTGACCCCATCCACTGCACTTCCACCCCAGACCTCTCCCCTTTTCCGGGACCCCCCAGCACAGGGGCCACCCTATGACACTCCATCATCCCTTGCCACCCAGCACTGGTGTCCCCTCCCCACACCAGATTTCACCTGTATAAAATGTTAAGGGGGGCCCATACAGACTGATTTGTCCCAGGCCCCACACCCCTCTAGGGACGGCCCTGCTTGCTGAACGTGAGTCTTTCCTTTCCCAATACTTGCAGTTTCACTGGACTCAGCAAGGTTCTACCAAAGAATGGCCATACTGGGTCAGACCAAAGGTCCATCCAGCCAAGTATCCTGTCTACTGACAGTGGCTAATGCCAGGTGCCCCAGAGGGAGTGAACCTAACAGGTAACGATCAAGTGATCTCTCTCCTGCCATCCATCTCCACCCTCTGACAAACAGGCTAGGGACACCACTCCTTACCCAACCTGGCTAATAGCCATTAATGGACTTAACCTCCATGAATTTATCCAGTTCTCTTTTAAACCCTGTTATAGTCCTAGCCTTCACAACCTCCTCAGGCAAGGAGTTCCACAGGTTGACTGTGCGCTGAGTGAAGAAGAACTTGCTTTTATTTCTTTTAAACCTGCTGCCCATTAATTTCATTTCGTGGCCCCTACTTCTTATATTATGGGAACAAGTAAATAACTTTTCCTTATTCACTTTCTCCATACCACTCGTGATTTTATATACCTCTATCATATCCCCCCTTAGTCTCCTCTTTTCCAAGCTGAAAAGTCCTAGCCTCTTTAATCTCTCCTCATATGAGACCTGTTCCAAACCCCTAATAATTTTAGTTGTCCTTTTCTGAACCTTTTCTAATGCCAATATATCTTTTTTGAGATGAGGGGACCACATCTATATGCAATATTCAAGATGAGGGCGTACCATGTTTTTCTATAAGAGCAATAATATTCTTATTCTCTATCCCTTTTAAAATGATTCCTAACATCCTGTCTGCTTTTTTGACTGCTGCTGCATACTGCGTGGACGTCTTTAGAGAACTATCCACGATGACTCCAAGATCTTTCTCCTGATTAGTTGTAACTAAATTAGCCCCCATCATATTGTATGTATAATTGGGCTTATTTTTTCCAATGTGTATTACTTTACATTTATCCACATGACTTATCTAAAATGTCAGATTTCTGTGCCAGAAACTCAGGCCTGGTCTACACTAGGAACTTACACTGGTATTGCTTCATCTAAGTGGTGTGAAAAATCCACACCTCTGAGAGGCATAGCTATACTGACCTAACACGCAGTCTAGACAGTGTTAGGTTGACTGAAGAATTCTTCCATCCACCTAACTACTACTTCGTGGGGGTGGGGGTGGGGTGGATTACCTATGCTGATGAGAGAACCCCTCATGTCGGCATAGATAGTGTCTACACAGAAGCGCTACAGTGGGGCTGTGAGAACATGCATCGCTGGAACCTGGGGCCAAGGGGGTTCTGTGCTGCTGATGCCATTACATCATCATGGGATGTTTAGGCTGGGCTCCCACATGAGGACCTTGTGAGGGTGGGCTTGGCAGGAAGCACCACCCAACAGGGCCTGAGTGGCAGCCTCTGGTAGCCCAATGATGGAAAACTGTCTGAGCAACAATGCAGACTGCCTGTCTGTCTCTGCTCCAGACCCTGCTTGTGATAGACCCTAGACTCTGGCTTCCAACTCTTGTTTGTCCTTGGCTTTTCTCTTCAATTGCTGTCTGTAACCTGGTGCCTGACCCTGATCTCCTGGTAATCTGACCCTGCCTGCCTCCTGATGCCTTACTCTTGGTTTGCCCTCTTGGACTTTGAGCTCCTGGTATCTGACTTGGCCTAACTCCTGCTCCAACCACTAGTCTGACTGCCCTTGTTCCAGTTGTGACAGGCACAGCTACATGCTGCTGTAGCATTTTAAGTGTAGACATAAACTTCCAGACTTACAGTGTCTCAGCTGCACAACTATTTAGGGTCTACCAAGATCCTCTCACTACTGACTCCATGCCACAGGGTCATTTTCCTGAGGCCCCTCGGCTGTCTTACTTTCATGGACTTAGTTTTTAATCTCGAATCTTTGACTTAATATGAATACAGGATTAGGACATTTTTCATGTCACTTTTCCATAGACTGGAAGATTCAGACTCAATTTACTAAGTAACAGTGTAACCTAAAGCCCAGTTTTATTGCACCTAGTGATTTAATGATGAAAAAAACCTCAAAGAAATGGAGACCTAGTGAGACTATGGTAACATTACTGGTCACTGGCAAGTGATGCCTGAGGTTTAAAGATCTGTGCAATTATTGGTACTTAAGACCCATAACTGATATTATTTAGCTTCCAGTTTTTCGGCATTGGTTATTTAAGATAACATATTAATATATGTACAGCAAACTCTCCGAAGACTAAAATATGAACAAAAAGGTTTAAAAAAAAATGTGCTTGCCTGTCTGAATAAACTCTTCCAATTTCTCCTTGAAGGGATGGAGATGCTGTTCTGAAGATTCTTTGCAAACGACTCTCATCTGCTTTTCACAGGCTAGAAATAAAAGTGCAGAGTTAGATACTTTAAAACTGAATATTTAACTGACAACTCTTAAATAACCCTATTATTTCCATAATTATATGCCTACTCATATACCATTCAAACTTTATCAAGCAATACATATTTCATACTGCATCTGCCTTGCTGAATCTAATAACTGCATTAAAGTCAAGTCGCCTCAGCCAGAATTGCTGAAGAACTAGACAATCTTTTTTTAAATATAGGTTATATGCAGTAGAATTCAGCTTTTGTAATGACTGCTTGTAATGGGAGTGGGTTGGAAACTAAATTGAAACCAGTATAGATCATGAAGAATTCATTAACGTTTGGAAGGAGCACCACTGCCTCACAAATAGGCCACCAAAATCTGCCCCAACTGATGTCTGAGTTGCATGAAGGAATAGTCCCATGAAGCATGCAATACAGCAATCTAACACGAAGGTAACAAAGGTATGGATCACTGTGGTGAGGTTCACTTCCAGAAGAAGAGAATGCAACCTTCAGGTCAAATCTAAGTGATAAAAGCATCTCTTGGCTACCATTGCTTCCTCGACATCCCAATATAGCTGCAGATCCAACGGGACTACCTGGGTTGCCAAATTAGTAACAAAACGCAGGCAAACTCCACCAATCAAGGGAAGATGTGATCTCTGCCATTTTCTTAGTTTATTTCCTCCAAAAGCATGAGCATGACTTTAGTCTTATTGGGACTGTGTCGACTGGCTTGCCCGCATCAATATACCAACCCCAGCAAGATGCTGGGTGAACTGGTAAACTGCTCTCACTGCATCTGATGATATAAAGAACTAAAACTGGTTGTCATCAACATATTTCAGGCATCAAATCCCATGCCAGCTCACTGCCTCTCTGAGGACCTTGTTATGACTAGAAAAAAAGGTTGAGTTTAGATTAGATTTTGCTAATACAAGCTAGCCAACTTTCATCAAAACTCAAACACTTTTCTTAGTGTAGGTTCATGGTCACCCATTCAACTTGAATTTAGCAGGTCGAGTTATAGCCTGGTAGAAGCAAAGTGAACTTCCACCTAATTATGATGCGTCCAGCCCATTGCCTAATTTATCAACTAATTGAGATCCTGATGCCATGTCATTTCCGATAGAAGCCAGGTTAACTGTCACAGAATTTAGGCATTGCCCTAGGAAGTCCTACTATATTTCTCAGAATTCTGAGATTCTAGATTATACTAAAGGTGAAATGAGACTGTCAGAAACCAATACTTTAAAATTTTGCAATTACCCATTGAACCAGTGCAAGCAGGAAATTGTTTTCTTCTTCTCACCTCTAAAAAATATAGTTCCTATGTGTTTAATTGGAATGGAAATTTATTTCACAACTAAACCAAAGGGTTACAGTTTGGTTGCATGAAACATATACACATTTAAATGGCAAGCCAGCCAGCTTCACTCCAGTTAATAATTCACTTTATTCCAGTAAAGTTAGAATGCCCCCAAAAATGGGGAGGAGGAAGGGAAGAGTGTATAATTAACAATAAAACTATCCTGTTAATAGATGTCACACATTTGAGGTTTGCAGTGCAGGGAAAGAAGTCAGCAGAAGGTTGAGAATACATGTATGCATTTTATTATACAACCAGTAGTACAGCATATAATACATTTGGACCACCAAGACTGCCTTAACAAAGAAACCACACAAAGCATCTGTTTGAGTTTTTGTTGAAACCCGCACCCCAATATAGTCTATGTTAAAAAGAAAAATCTAACATGGCCAGAAATCTCTTCTTGACATTTGTTGCTGCAGAAATATATTGAAAAGATATCTGCTTCCTTTTAAAAGTGTTGTACGATAATTAAACATTCTTCCATAGCTCAGCTATATAAAACTAGAATATGAAGTTATCAAAAATTCATCTATAGCTGAGGAGGTCCTACCTATATAAACCACAGTCTTTATTTTTATGAACTATATTATACATTTATCTTTAACCCAGGGCTGGCCCACAACACTTTGGCACCTGAGACAGGGAGCTCAAATGATGCCCCCATTCCTCCTTGCTTGGGCCAAAACTTTGAAAGGTCTCAATTCTGCCTTGTTCCTGTTCTACTCCTCTCATGGTACTGCTCTGCTACCTACCCCAATAAAGGAGAACTAACAACTTAAAATGCCTTGTTCAAAAATGTTAAGTAACACTTAACTTTCAAACGCCTGAACAGCAAATGTAACTTTTCTTTTCTGCATAGTAAACACTGGCATTTTTATCTGTTTGAATAATAAAAGTGGTGCTTTCTGTGCCTTCTTGGTTGCAAAGATTTGAACTGCTTCCTGAAGGTCCACAGCCTGGGCCAGCTAATGCTCTATTGAGCTGGCTGCAAGGTCGACCAGCCTCTCCTGTGTCATTGGGGAGCGTAGATGTGTTTTTATTAACTTCAGGTTGGAGAAGCTGTGTTCTTCACTGGCAACTGTTACAGGAAGTGTTAGAAGTATGCGCAGAGCAACAAAAGCATTTGGAAAGAGGGTGGTCATCTTATTTGTGCACATATATTCCAGAACAGCCTTTGGAGTTGATCCTGCTGAAATGTATCTTGAAAGGGCTTTCAGTTCATCACCTAAATCACTCGCATCAATATTGCGCATGTCATCATGTGTCAACACTGTCTCTAGTGCCCTGCATTGCTGGTGTAGGTCTTCTTCAGGTATAGTGAGGAGTTTTGGAATATCATACAACATCCCAAATATACTGCTGTGTTCCTTGAGCTGCATGAAATGTTCTTCAACTGACTGTATTGCACAATCTAGCACCTGGTGAAAGAATTTAACTTTGAATTGTTGTTTGGGATCTCTTATGGGTTTATCCCGTGCCTCATAATGAAAATGTCTTCTTCTTTGGTGACTCTTGTATTCTTGAATGGGTGGGAAAATAGCTTCAGTGTGAAGTTCCTCTGCCAACTTCTGTGCACTCTTCAGAATGTTTTGAAATCCCTTATCTGACCGATAAGACTGTAGGTATGACTTTGCTTTGTCCAGTTGTTCCATTGCTCCAGACATATCAAGGTCAACACCTTGGAGTCTCTTGCTTACAACATTTATTTCAAACAGCATGTCATACCACAACACTAAGCCACACAGAAATTTGAAGTTTTGTACGTTTCTGGTGATTCCATTTCCCTCTGCCACTGTTTTCCCACGAACAGTTCCTGTCATAGCATTATTCTCCATAATGGCAACTATGGCATCATCTATCTTCCCAATTTGGTGTTTGATAGGCTTTATAGCCTCCACTCGACTTTCCCATCGTGTGGCACTCAGTGGTTTCAGTGTCAGAGAGGATGTTCCCAGATGTTGCTTCAAAATTTGCCATCGATGAGTTGATGCAGAGAAAAATACACAGATGCTTTGAATGACATTAAAAAATTCAGCAGCCTCATTAGAAGCTGATGCTCCATCACTGACCACAAAGTTCAATGAATGAGAACTGCATGGGACAAAAAAAGCTCGAAGGTTTAGCTCTCGGATCCGTGTCTGCACTCCTCTGTTCTTTCCTCTCATGTTGGCACCATTATTGTATCCCTGACCTCTCATGTCAGCTATCGCAATTCCCGAATCTTCCAGCTTTTTAAGAAGCACATTTGTCATACCAGCTCCTGTAGTATCATCAATGTCAATAAATTCTAGAAAATGCTCTCCGACAGTCACCATTGCAGGGACATTTTCACTAGGTTCTGTAGTTGTTACAAAACACACCATTAAAGTCATTTGTTCCGTATGGCTGATGTCAGGTGTGCAGTCCAGAATAACAGAGTAGTATCTTGCTGACTTCAGATCTGCCACAATCTTCTGTTTGACTTTTGTTGCCAGTAATTGTATGATCTCATTTTGAATTGTTTTTCTCAGGTAGTTGTGTGTGTACATTTCTTGGGTGGTGTCTCTTCTTAGATGCTCCTGGAGTACAGCATCAAACTCAGCCATCAGCTCCAGAATTTTAAGGAATTTTCCATTGTTTGGCACATACAGCTGATCTGAAGTGCCACGCAGTGCTAGGTTTTGGGTAGCAAGCATTCTCACAATGGCAATGAGCCTTTCCAGAACATTTTGCCAGTAAAGAGACTCTGTTGATGCTGATCATCTATGGTGGCCTTTAACCTTAGTCTCATCTCAAGCACTTTCCACCTATGGAATGCTCTCTGGTGATTTGCTGCCTTCTCATGACATGCCAGATTTCTAGCCAGATTTTTCCAGTCCTTTGTTCCTGTAGAAGCCAGTGTGGCTGGAACATTAGACTGGAAGAGTTTGCAACAAAAACAGTATACAGCATTCTGGGTTTTTGAGTACATAAGCCATGGCCTCTCCACTTTGTCACCAGTAATGTGTTGGATGGAAACTTCTATTTTCATTGTCTTTGGGGAACATGAAATTTTTCACTTGCTGTGGCCTATGCAGTACAAGGAAGTCCCCCAGGCTACTGCTCAAGTGGGTCCACAGTCCTGGATCATCTAGACTTAAGGAACTAAACTCAGCAGCAGCTGTTCCTTGCACCTCTACCACACTCTTCTCTGAGCTACACTTTTCTTCAGGAATGTGCATGGTTACATCCATCTGAGATGGAGATATGGATGTTGCAGTAGCTGCCACGTCATCTGCACTCTGACTAACTGGAAGATCAGGCATCTCCTCACCACTCACATCCTCACTGGGGCCGGAAGGCTCACCATGGACATTTGTGTCTATGTATCTCAGGACAGCTCCTTCCTGCTTAGATAGAAAAGCTTCCTTTGCTTTCTTTCTTTTTCTGAATGCTGCCCAGGAGGGGCATTCTCTTCTTTCACTCTTGCCTGCTGTTCTGCGCCAGCTATAGTGGCTCTCAACATTAATTGAAGGGGACAAATAAGCAGGCTGGTAGCAGGGCCGGAGAGAGGGAAGATATCAGCGTCTTAAGGTCCTAACTGGCTCCTACTACTTCAGTTGACTGCCTGTTCTCCTCAAGTGGGTTCAGGGAAGCAGCAGGAAACAGGAAGTTC